AGAGATAAGAGCTCCCCCACCCCGTGTATCTCAGACAGTGTTCGGATAGCCGTGGCGGACATTATATAGTAACGATAGCATTATCGTTCGAGAGACTCGCCCCCCTTGATTTTGCCCGTTCGCACCGATGTCACAGGGACTGCCGCGGGAGGTCATCGTGGAAAAGCCGAGGATCATCATCAGGGCTCACCGGACGGCATGGAAGAAGAGGCAGGAGAAGAAGAGGGTCTCACCGGCGAGGGTGACCATGGCGATGACGAGGGAACGGAGGTGAGGTTGCAATGCACGACAGGAGATGCCCATGGTTAGTTTTGCGGTGGAAGTTCCATGTCCGACACATGCGTGCTTCCTCCACTTAGATTAGAATCTCCATATCCCCCTTCCCGGGGAACCTCAGGCTGTCACATTATTGTTCGCCTTTGAATATGGTTATTGAGTTTTCCTTCCAAGGAGATTCCAGGAACCGTCCAGTATTTGACTACCACGACCAAATCAGGCCCCCGCCTAATCGTAAAGGGTTAGTGCGCATTCATCCCCCCCCCCTTTTGCAAAAAAAGAAGAGAAATAAAGAGAAAAAAAAAAGGAGGAACATTGGAAATCAGGAGCATCTGTTGAACTCTTGTCCCTGTCGGTCTCGATGTTGTGCATGGGTACATGCGTTGCTGATGGGGTTATGCATCTTGACGCTCACCTCCAGCTCTTTGCATTTCTTTGCCTGTGATTTTCAGGTGCAGGGCGTTCTCTATTTTTTGGGGGTGGGGGGTGTATTTAATGTATAGCCTTTGTGTATACGGTTCGTCAGGCCAGCACACGTTGCCCGTTGTTCGACGTCCATTGGTAGTTATACTCGTCACGCTCTTCGTTGTCGTTCCGTCTTCGCTAACTGCCATCAATATTCCTTCGGCGTTTACATTTGTTCGTCTCTTTCATTAAACCAGGCCGAAGCGCTGAAGCCGGCGAGCATCGCCTGGGAGGCTGGACTGCTGGAGAAGACCTCCAAGGACAAGACGAAGAAGGAGCATACGGCGGCGGCTAATCGTGCTCGCGACAAGGCCAAGGAACACCATGCCCGTTTGATGCAGAGCACGTCTGGAACGGGCGCTTCGGCGAAATCCACGAAGGGGAAGGGGAAGGCCAAGGAGAAGGGACGTGGAGCGGTCCGCAACCAGGACCAGGTGACAACGAAGTGAGCGCGGTCTAGTACGGAGCCCCCGGCGCCATCGTTGGACCTAAACGATGGCGCCGGGG